TCGCAACCATGGCGCCATGGACGTTTAGAACAACGCGTATTGACTTACCATTGTTTTGTTAGGAGTGGCGAGTCGGTGAATGCAGTACAACTTCAATCACGCCGAAGATTCGAAAATCTGAGAGCATTGCATGAAAAGCCACTGCACAGCCCTAAGGTAACATTTTGGTGCGCGGGTGACAAAATTAGCGTCATTGGACCATATTTTTTTTTTTAAGAGCTTTTTCATACCTGCCTTACAAAGAGATTAGTTACCATTGGTAACAGCTAAAAATCTTAAAATAAATATTTTATGACTAAGTACTGTGAAATAATTTCATTTATTTGTTTACCAACAGCGATATATAATAAGTAATTCAGTAAATAGCAAATTAGCCCCACGGAAATAATGCGCCCTATAGGGTCTAGGTTTTGCGAACACGATGAAGCTGACTTGGTTGGCGGTTGTTACCATTTTCATTTATGGATACACTCGGTAGTCCGTCGGGGACCTTCGGTGCCGGCTCGTGTCTGATCGCGGTCGCCCAAGTGGGTGGGGCGGCTGCAACTATTTTGTGGGCTTGTTACCATTTCTTGATTTGTTACTCACGTCCTCACTCGTTCGTAGCCGTTTTGGTTACCGGTTGTAGTGTGCGTGCAATTAAACCTGGATGAGTGTCGCTGGGTAATCGATCAACTGCTTGAAAAGTAGAATTTTTAAGAAAAGAAAGGAGATCATTGAATATGGAAGAGCAACACCTATTTTAGATAATTTTAAAAGGAATAAAAAAACGTAGTTGATATTTTAAATTAAGTTGGTATATGGAAACTCTTGGTTATGTGGTTACAAAAAAACAGATTCGTATTGTTAGCTATGTCATCTGTTTTATACAGAAAAAAATGGATGGACCAGCAGCGGAGTCAACAATTAAAATAGTTTTAGGGCTCTAAAGAGGAGACATGAAATTTCTCCGTACATGTGAGATGTGTAGCCAATTTAATTCAGTTTGGCAAAACAACAATCGAAAGCTGTCTTCCAAGCTTTAGCAGCACACTCCTAGATACCGTATGTGTTGTGTCAAAACAGGAATTACCGTTCAGGCAGCAGCGGTGGCCGCAGTAGTAGACTCTTCGGTCTCCTGATCAGTCGCCGTGTGCTGTGCGTGGTTCGAGTCCCGTCCCAGGAGAAATTTGTCTCTTGGCTATGGATGTTGTGATTGTCCGTAGGTGGTAGACGGTCTCTGACTGTCGAACGTGGAGGTACCACCCGGCGGATCTCGTAGGCAGAGTCAGAATGTGTGCATGTTGCATGCACACGTGTTCCCTCGCCAGAGTCCGTGTGGCGTTCCCCCTTTCCCCTGTATCCCCCTATAGTCCCACGGTACCCAATGGGTGTTTAGGCCTTAGGCCTTCGTGGTAGTTGGAGTATAAAAAAATTGAAGGGGATGACTCTGACTTCTGACAATAGAGGAAATTACAGGGAATTGTTAACATTCATTGCCAAAAAGATCAAAAATTTTCCGAACATCTAGAAACGTCGACTGTTTTTTCGGACGGCTTGGATTAGTCATAGCATAAGACGATGAGGTATATCAAATGCCCCAGACGCTCAGTTCAGGAATGTTTACCTTAATATAAAAATAGTTTAAATAAAATACCTACTTACATTTAGGAGGTTCAAAATAAACTTTTTTTTAATAAGATTTTCCACATCTGGTTTTGGTAACAGTTTAGGAAAAGTCCACGCGTCGCCACTGGATTAGTGGTTTCAGCAAGATGGGGCCACGGCACATGCCGCCAGAGCATCTATGCTTGTTTTCCGGTTCGGTGACATTGTATGGCCTCTCAGGTCTCCTGACTTATCCACATGCTTTGTTTTTTTGTGGGGATACCGTAAGTCGCGTCTTTACGAGACTAAGCCCATACGATAGATGCATTAAAAGAAGCGATTCATTCGTTACAAGTTAGTCTATCAATAGAGATCTACTGGAAAGAGCGGAGGCAAATTCTCGAGAACGACCTCAGCAATGCGTCAATGAAAACGGTCAACACATGCCAGCTGTTATTTTCCATTCATGATATCTTAAAATGCTTTGTTCTTACCTATATTGTGCTACCAATAAGATTTTTTATAGTAAAAACTAGAAAAAACCTAAATTTTATTATTATTTTATAAACACTTGGTTCCTACGCGCCACCCTGTATCACCCCTCAACTACTGAAGAAGGTGATAGAAGGCAGCGGAGTTTTCTTTGTATTATGCTAACCCAGAAAGACTTATAGGGCAGCTAGACAGACTGAAAGCGAAGTTTTTTTACACAGAAGCCTAAATGCCAGAGCACCGCGGATGCTTTAAGGATCCCAAAGAAAGTTTGTTGAACTGCCTACGGTAGTAAAACTGGGCAAAAACATAATCTTGACTCCCTAGTGATAAAGGAGCGGTCGTTTCGGCCAATTCTGGATGTACGAAGATCAACCCGGTTAGTATGGGAGGGAGGCCGAAGTCAGGCGGATCAGTCTGGCAGCACATCGCACTGCAGCATCATAGAGAAGAGGCATCGATCATTCGGACAGCTCTTCTTAGCCCTAGCTTTTTCCCAGCAGCTGCCGCTATCGACGAGATGTGTCCAAGTCAGATCTGAATGGTTCTTTGGCAGAACTTGGTCATCCATTGTAATCGGTTAAGTGCTAGGACCCTTTTGGTTTGTCAAGGTACAGTACTGTGTTTTGGAAGCATTAACCTGTACAAGACTGTTGCGTCCCCAAGCAGTGGTAACCTCCAGTCGCTGCTAGTATTATTTTTTCCATCTCACCGGCAGAGATCGGCTTGACACTGTGATTCTTGCATGTAGAGTGCTGTCATCATCAAAACTGTAGACTGGATTGATCATACAGGAAAGGAGGTCGTTGATATGTAAGAGAAATGGTATCGGAGCCAAGACCGACTCCTGGGAACACCTGCGTTGACGTTGTGGGATGAAGAGGAGAAACCGTCAATTCATCTTGCGGCCAGAGGAAGAGTCTGCCACCCATCTGCAAAGCTTCTCTGGGAAGCCATAGGATGGAAGTTTGCATAAAAGTGCCGCATGCCTCAGCTGATCGAACGCTTTCGTGATATGACGAGCAACGACATGAGCGTCACCATAGGAGTGGCTGAGCTTACTCCAGAATTGCGTCGGAACCCATACTGTACTCGACTGACTCATCTTTCTGCGCACATCCCCTGCTCAAGTATGTGTATTATTGCAGGTGAAGGTGCTCTCTAGTGCCGAGTAGCCATGAAGTACTATTCTCGTTGTTAGTCTGCAACATTTGACTTTCCAACTAAAATTATACAGCTAATTCAAACTATGTCACGCTGCGCTGGAGTGTTTATTCGTAGATCACTTGTAGTTCATATGGAAATGATTCCATTGAGTATTCCCAAAAATGACTGCCTACATAAAAAAGAATGCACCTTATACGACAGACGTTCTAGATCCTAGTGCTGAACCAATGAATTATCGACTAGTCCGAACACGTATGACATTTTATCACCTACATTCATAAATATGCTATATACCTAGTGACCTACATTCCTTTATCCTGAGGCAAATGCTCGGCCTGCCTTCCTCTGAAACACGTTCTCCTCTCTAATGCTTTTAACAGACGTGCATCGCTTGCGTTAATTACTCTTCGTTGTAGTGTAGTATAGAAGATACGTTTTTCAACTGTATAAAGGTTCCATTGAATTCACAGGGACTTCAGTATTCAAATGGTTAAAACCGTCAGGTTTATCACAGTTTGCTAGGGATCATTGAATGTATGATCTTATTTTCGAAGCTTATAATATAATTAGTATACCATTCAAGCACTCCAAAAATGAAAAATGAAGATTTCGAGCAAGGGCAAAGCACGCCGTGTTTGAGGTGTTAAAATCTCAAATCGTAAGTAAGAAACCTGTTAAGGAAATCATGGATTTAGTCAACTGTTTTTTAATAATATCTACTGTGATAGAACGATCTTATAGTCTACGAAGAATACGGCCCAAGATAAAAATATTGCCTCCATTTTGGTCTCGATCGATTACTCTAAAGCATTCGACAAACTGAGTCATCAGCTGCTCTTGCTAAATTGGAGTATTTAGGTTTGATAATATATATGTGTGATACGCCACTAGTGTGACATGTGTCGTGTTTGGGGTTTCTGCTGAAATTCATATTTTTGAGTGGTAAAAGAGGCCAAAAATTTGAAAATTTCTTGCAAATATTAGTAATAAGTGCAGTTAACAATCCTGTGAAGTGAGACCTGCATGCAATCTGCTTAAACGAAGTTACTTAAATCTTCTTTATTTTATATCGAACCAACGTAAGAAGTCACTTTTTTGCGATACATTCTGTGAGAATACAAGGACTAGTAGCTCAGTTTTTTTTATTATTGTCATCATCATGAGTAAATGTCTGATGTGTCCTGACAAGGGACCTATTCTGTTGAAGAATGTGTTCAATGTAAATCTTGCTCTATATATTATCATGTCATGTGTTAACAGTGCAAAGTTGTTGCCTGATGGAAGTTATAATTACTGTTGTGGTACTGGTGGTCAAGTCATGATGACATTTGCTGGACTAGATCCTGGATTTCAAATTATTTTGAAAAGGCTTGACAAAGTAGATGCGTCATTGAGTGCAATTAAGTCAGATATTCATCCTCCAGCAACAAGCTAAACAGAACTTGAAGAGATTGTCACTGGTGAGTCTTTATATGATGAAATGAAAGATAGGATGAATAGAGAGAACTTTATTATATATAACTTTGATGACTCAGTGAATGCAGCTGCTACTGATTCTGTGAATATAAAGAAATTGCTCGAGAATACAAAGCTTGTTATTCCATTAACTTGATTATCTTAAAGTTTTTCGACTTGGGACGTGATTTGTTGAAGGAAAGAATAGATTAGTCAAAGTTGTTATGAAATCCTCTGATAATGTACACTGGATTATCATCATAGTAGTGAAATTTTTTTAAAAATAATGTTTTTGTCAGTAGTGATCTTACAAAAAACAACAAGCTCACATGCAAAAAACTTAAAATGAAAGTGAAGGATAGATCTGACAAAGGAGAAAAGGATTTAAAAATTAAACATATAGAGGTAAACCAGATTATGTCTTATTAATGAATATGACATTATAGTTTTGACTGAAACTGGCTTGATGAAGACATTACTACTGCTGAATTACAACTCCAAAATTTTACTGTGTACAGATGTGACAGGTCTTCATTTACAAGTGTGAAGAAATCTGGTGGTGGTGTTTTGATTGCAGTCAAAAAATGTATTAAGTATTTAAATGTTATTTTATGAACAAGGTATTTTGCGTATAAAACTCATGCAAAGTCATTTTTCATTAGTGTGGTCTATATACCACCCCTTCTAGGAACAGGATTGATGTTTTATTTGCTTATAATTTATTTAATAACGTTATTGATAATTTCAGTTTATTGTCAAAATTCAGATTTTATGTGCCACAAGAATGTTAAGACGTAATAATGTTTATTTTCATGTTATGCCACCTAAATCAGATCTGATAAATCATTCTCCTGTTTTTAGATTATCTAAACTATGTAACGAACACAGTAGTTGGCTTGATTTGTATAATTCGCGTAATTATATTGTTTAGAAATGTATCAAAGTCTATGTTTACATTTGAGTAGTCTTTTGATCTTGTAATATTTGATTTATGATTACTAGATTATTGCATTTCGTCATTTGAACATCTGTATTAAATTGCGCAGATGATTATGTTAATCTCAGTTGATTGCCTTATATACTATTATATGTTACTGTTACCACATATGTAGCCCCCACTTACACGACGTTGCGGTGCATTTTTCTATTTATAATACACATGTATAATGGGTTCGCCCGTAAGATGAATAAATAAATAAATAAATATCTATATCATTTTTCACGGAATACTTAGCTAATCGGGTCCCAATGTGTTGTCATTAATAATACTTTTTCTAACTCTAGCAACATCATATCTGGTGTTCCACAAGGATCTGTTTTGGGACCCTGTTATTTCTAATATATATTGCAGACTTGCCTTCTGTAGTAGCTAACTCTACAATACAGTCATTTGCAGACGATACCCAGTTGCTCTATCATTTTGATCCACATGATCAACAAGCAACCGTCGGGTTACAAAAGGATATTGATGTAGTTTATAGCTATTCTATAAAGCACAATTTGATAATAATTCCTCTAAATCCAAATCATGTTATTCTGCTCTAATACTAAACGTGAGCGCATCCTCCAAACATTGCATCCCAAAATTGGATCAGATAGAGTAGAATTTAGTAATGAGTCTAAAATACTTGGTGTCATTTTAGATATTAACTTAAGATTCAAAAGTCATGTTTCTAGCATATTACAAAAATCCTATTGGAAATTACGTGTTTTATATGCAAATAGACGTGTTCTGCCTTCTGCTTTGCGAAAACAACTTGCTGAATCCCTTATTCTTCCAATTATCATTTATTGCAATATTTTTTACCAGCCTTGCTTGGATCAGCTCACTAAAAGACGTTTACAAGTGATTCAAAACAACTGCCTCAGATCACGTGTAGTTTAAGAAAATACGACCATGTTAGCCATGCTTACAACAGTATTGGATGGATGAAGCGTGAGTGTTTGACAAAGTTTCATTATTTGGTCTTCCTGCATAAGCTGCTCGCATCTGGGTAAACCCAAAACCCTAAGAGAAAAACACTTATGTTTTCTAATGAAATAAATATCAAAACTCTTAGATATACATTAAATATTACGAAACACCCCATTACGTCGCCTCGCTTTTCCAACGCTCATTTTCCTATAATGCTGCTAGTCGCTACAATAATATTCCTGATGATGACAAAACCATGAATCTGTCTTGTTTCCGTAAGCATGTTAGGCTATATTTACAGAGTTCTACATTATAATGTTTCTTCTTTGTCTAATTTTTGTTAATAATCGCTATGTTTATGGGCACATATGCTTGTAGGCATTTAAATTAGTTGCTTGTTTGATTGAACTGCTTTCAATACTATTATGACATTGTAATAGCCAAACTTTATTTTTTTGTCTCTCCTATAGAATCTTTTTTTTTCGTATTCATATGGTTAAGTGTAAGAGTAGCTTCAGCTAAACTTCGCCATAATGAATCGCACTCCGTATCTTTGTAATTAAAGACGATATTATTATTATTATTATTATTATTATTATTATTATTATTATTATTATTATTATTATATAACACTTATAAGTTGTCCATAGAGAAAAAAGATAGTTTTTTCTGTAAAAAAGATTGGCAGATATCTGAAAGTCTTAAATGACAAATACATAAAAAGATACAACCAGGCATGCGTTGTTTTTTATAAACAATGAGAAAAGCTCAAAATTCAGTGTTTTGCTGGTATAATTCTCAAATTAAATTTCATATATAACGGTAAACTGGAGATGTGCGAGCATAATAATACCTTCAATTCTATTTTTTCAAGAACTAACATCGATAAACAATTTAGCTAGATACGGGGTTTTTAGCAATATTGAATAAATGTTTATAACTATTGCAATAACAAGTGTAAATGGCTTAAAAATTGTGAGAATGAGGGTATCGTTGGTGTTAATATGTGTGCTAAATTTCAACCGGATTGGTTTATTAGTTTATGTAAAAAGCTAATTGTTTATACGAGAGACGAATTATTTAAACAACTGTTTTTGCCCAAGACATGGTCGTAGAACAGCTTACAAAGGTAAAATGGATTCAACTTCAAGAATGTATGCGAAAAAATAATTATTTATTTTAAAATTGTTGTCAAAAGTGATCTTAAAGAAATAGCCATTTTTTAGTTATACACAGTTACGATAAATCCATTATTTTTCAATATAATTTATTTCAACAAATTATGTTGTATAAGTGGTTAAAAAACGCATGTTAAAAAAAAACCTCTACGACCAATAGGAGCCAAGATACATATCTTTAATTCGTATCTATTTTGTTTATAAACATTAAGAAATTTTACAGATTCCAATCAGGGATCTTGATTTTAGGATCCAATTTATAATTTCACTATTAGTTTAAAGGTATTTAAGAAATAGCCAGCTAAAGTCAAAGTACTCTTTTATTTCCGGGTTGGTGGGAGAATCATCTCTACCTCGATTTATTCTGAGTCCTCAAATCGGAGCGCGCTGTTAAATTTTGCAACTCGTCAAAATAATGACATCTGGCGCATTTTTGGAAAATCGGGAAAATCCTGGAAAATTTAAGACATTGTAATCTTCAAAATTAAATTGCTATAAAATAATAATAATTAATAATACCTCATTTACTTTAACTCTCACTCTAATAAAATAATTTATATTTTACAATAAAATATATAATAAAACAATTCTTAATTCAGTTAATTGGTATACTCTTAACAAAATACGCTCTAATAAATTGTAAAAAAATATTGATTCTCTTTTATTATATTTGGACGCTCTAGTTCCTTCAATATTTGTGTAACTCATTTTTCAAATCAGACGTAGATTTTCGCAGTCTGCTCTTCATCGTCGTCAAATCCAATTACAACAAGGTTGTAGCAAGTTGTGCCAAAAATCCTATTGGTCGTAGAAGGTTTTTAAGATATCCATTTTTTTAACCAGCTATGCAGATCAACTTATTATTACAAACTGAACTATATTGAAAAATGAGGAAGTTATGGTAAATGTTTATAACTATAAAAATGGCTATTTTAAAAAAAATGTATCAGCAATTTTGAAATAAACAATTTTTTGCATTAATTTTTGAACTTGAAACACTTGAAACAAAATCCGTTTCACTTTTGTAAAATGTTCTAGGGCCATATCTTAGGCAAGAACAGTTGTTTAAATAATTCGTCTCTGGGATAAACAATAAGCATCTAGCACACATATTAACACCGCTGATGCCCTCATTCTCAAAAATGCTTAGCCATTTACAATTATTATTGCAATAATTATAAACATTTATTCAATATTGCTAAAAAGGCCCCGTATTTAGCTTAATTGTTTATCGATTTTCTCATATGGGTTATAAGTGATTTGTTTTATATATTTTGCGTTTGGTTTGTGTTAACTGTTAACAACGTAATATTTAACTTTAGTGGTTAAGTGTTAGAGTAGCATATTGCTAAACTTCGCCATTATAGTTACACTTTATATATATATATATATATATATATATATATATATATATATATATATATATATATGGTCTTTGTCATCCTCACATACTACTGTAAGTTAATTTAAATTCACGTTACACAATTGTTGCTACTATTATCAATGTAATTGCAGCTCCTGATGATGATGGCAAAGACCATTGAAAGCTAGAGAGAATAAAAAGTATAAAGACTCCTCCTTGCTTAAATTTTGTCGAAGTACCCGACAAAAGGTGGAAGCTTTAATTTTCACCTATATATATATATATATATACATGTATATATATATATATATATATATATATATATATATATATATATGTTAACTTGAGGTCGAAATTAAACTAATTATCGCTCAAAATACTACAGAACGTTGATGATTGACCGCTGCAAAGACCAAACAAAAACTGGTCAGGCATCCAATGTTTTTATCAACACTATCAAGATAAGCGCGAGCAGACTGGCTCAGATACATTTATCACGTGAGACAAAATAACATTTATCGGGTGAGACAAAGTATTGAATAATACTGAACATTCCTAACACGGCCTTCCTGCTCTCGTACGCCCTCGTACGCAAAAAGTATTTTAATTACCAGTACAACAAATAAACATATCAACCGTTTAAGGTTCCAAAATTAACATGGCAACCGTTTAAGGTTCGAATCATACTACTTAGATCTTGGATTGTTATGGTAAAACATCATATTCAAAACATTCTTAACGCAGTGTTAAACACCATTTCGCCCTTTGATTCGGAATAATACAGCTCACTAGGTGTGAAAAATACAAATTTATCTCAACCATGTAAGGTTCTTTTTCAAAACATTCTTAATGTAGTGTTAAACACCATTTCGCCCTTTGATTCGGAATAATACAGCTAACTAGTTGCGAAAAATACAAATTTAATTCAACCATCTAAGGTTCTTTTTTTTCTTCTTTTTGTTTTTTTTTTATTTTTTTGTTAATCAATTTTTTTATCATCTATTCAAAGTACATAAGTCAACCATTTACGGTTCGAAAATAAACATGTCAACCAGTTAAGGTTCGAAAATAAACATATCAACCATTTAAGGTTCCAAAATAAACATAAATCAACCATCTAAGGTTCCAAAAGGACATAAGTCAACCATTTAAACATATCAACCATTTAAGGTTCCAAAATAAACATCCGGATACTTGAGTATTAGCTCTCTCTTACCAAACGTCAATAAATTGGGAGTAAAACCAATCCAAATGAGAAAAATGTCACAGTCTTTGGCACGCACGGTATATCCCACTTCTGATGTTAACTTGAGGTCGAAATTAAACTAATTATCGCTCAAAACACGACTTCTATTGCACACAAACAATTCAGATCTGATCTCGTCAACAAAACGTTAGTGACCGCTGCAAAAACCAAACAAAAACTGGTCAGGCATCCAATGTTTTTATCAACACCATCAAGATAAGAGCGAGCAGACTGGCTCGGATACATTTATCAGGTGAGACAAAATAACGTTTATCGGGTGAGACAAAGTATTGAATAATACTGAACATTCCTAACATATATATACATGTATTGTATATAGTATTTAATAAAGTCGTTTATTGTTATTATTATCGATTATTTATAAAATTTAATTTGAAAATTATACAGCCAAAGTACTAAATTTTCGGCTTTTCCCAATATTTATAAAAAAAAGAACGCTTATCCGGCTGTATCTTTTATGTATTTGTCATTTTTTTTATCTAACCTGGACTATTTATTCCATTTGATTCAATTGATATATCACGGAATTTTAAATTTATTTCTATAAATATAAATAAAGGCGTCAATACATTATAATTTATTACCAGAATCAACAACCACGAAAGTGGTGGTTTTGGTAACTTGTGTTATCGTAAGATTTTATACCTCTGAAAGAGGAAACTTTTGCTCTTATTTCAATCGTTGTCCTGCTGATGATTGCCATTAAGCACGAATCAACTCTGTACACGGTGAGTCGATCGGACGGAAGCAGTATTACTATTATCAGTTTATAAATTGGAATCATGATCTTATTACGTAAAAATTGTGCAACCTAAGGAGATTCCGTACCGCAATAAAAGCTTTTACATAGATAGTTAACACTAAGTGAGAAATTTACGTTTGCCATATGTCAGTTACAGAATAGCGAAGAGTACACTTTACAAGCCGCCACTGCTTGTCAGGGGCCTAAAATAGTTCCATCAAAATTGGAACGCTCTTATGCAGGCATGTGCAATGGAAGTTCATTTAAATTAAGGTCGCAAATTAATGGCCAATCTTTTAGGAACCTTTTTTGCCAGTCTATCGCCGGGAAATTGAAAATGTAGGCGAGCGTCTTTTTTTTGCAGCTCGTTTGATGAACACTCGGTTGAACATTATGGTCCAGTTACTTTAGCAGATGTCCATTTACGTCCCTTGTCTTTTAATGAGATCGCACTACTTTTCTGCCAATAACCACCTCATTACCATTTACAGAAACATCAGCTTGCTTCGTGAATACTTTAAAAAAGCGAGATTACTCAGTATACAGTGCTCTTCTTTGGTGCCCCCTCCATCCTCCTCCTCTTTTTATTTCTTGAACGTGAAAAGTTTGGGGTGATGCTTAAATACTATATTTGAAATTTTTTTTAATAAAATGGGGATTATTTTGAAAGTTTTGACACATTCAATCGCTTATCTCAACCAATAATTATAGAAACGCCAATTATGTTATATCAATTGTTTCCGAATGTGCAACATAGTATGGTAAGCACCATTAAAAAGATATTTTGACAGATTTCTCCTAACAAAATATTCCATTCTTTATAGACTATTGGGGTCGATTTTATCAAAAAATACAGGGTGACTTTGAAGTTGAGTCATTAATTTTCAGATAATGATTGTAGAAGGAAGATAAACCAGAATATGTGTGTAAAAATAAAAAAAAATTAAAAAAAAATTTTTACCTTGTTTTATAAAGTATCCTCCCGACAAGTATTTCAGTGCGGACCTGTATTTGATCGTGAGGTCCCCTGTGAGGTCTTCAAGTCACCTGATTCACGAGCCCGTTGTACTACATTAACAAAGGCACGAGGGGTTGGTTGCACTCGATTGGGAAACCGATCCGCATAAACATGTGCCATTTTTTATTTCGTTTGAGCCACGCAACAGACACTATTCACACGCTAACCGACTGTATGTATAACTGAACTGAATAAAATACTTAATTGCAAAAACGTCGTTCCAAATTCTTTCGCTTTTTTGTTTCCGATGCGATGAACCGGTAAGGCGGATTATATCCGTTGTTGCCAAACACGAGTACATGATATTATTATTGAGACAGGGCGGTACTCAAACTTCCAAAGGGCTATAACTTTGTTACTTTAATTTTACCAGAAAAATGGTAAAGGAAAAAAACATTTCTTTTGATCAGATCTACTCACTGTTAAAATAAATGACTCAACTTCGAAGTCACCCTGTATAAACATATAGAGTTATGTTGATTAGTTATCGAGTTGTCAAGAAACTAAAACTCTCAATATTGATTGTCTGCCACTCAACCATGTTCAGAGGTGATGAATTTAATTAACCAGAATTATAGAATATATAGTATAAACACTTATGATAATAATAATAATAATAATAATAATAATAATAATAATAATTATAATAATAGTAATTATAATAATAATATACCAACAAAAGGAACCTATACATTACGTACATCGACTATCAGAAGGCATACGATTCTGTACCTCATGAGTGGCTTGTCAGGGTGCTGAGGCTCTATAAGGTAGATGAGCATGTAGTGGCCCTATTAGAACATATGCTGAAGACCTGGAGAACCAGAATAACACTGCATACAAACGGGACCAGCACCATTCAAACTGAGACGATCTCTATCCGAAGAGGTCTCTTTCAGGGTGATTCATTAAGTCCCCTATGGTTTTGCCTAGCTATAAATCCCCTCTCAAACCTCTTAAATGCAACAGGGTATGGATATAGTCTGAAAGATAACAGGAACGCATCCATAAAACTGAACCACTTGCTGTATATGGACGACCTAAAGGTAATAGCTGCTACTGAGAATCAAATGAAACAGCTGCTAGAGATAGTCGGTCAGTTCTCAGATGACATAAGTATGCGATTTGGGATGGATAAATGCAAAACCTTATCTATACGTAGGGGGAACATCTACCCTGGAGGATTTTCAAGCTGCAGAGGCCAAAACATTGACGCAATGGACGCAAATGACACATACAAGTACCTTGGAATGGCGCAGGCCCGAAGGATAGACCATAAAAAAATGAAGGAAGCTATATCGCAGACCTTCACAAAAAGAATACGGCTACTTCTGAAAACAGAACTCAATAGTAAGAATCTAGTCAAGGCGATTAACACCTACGCATGCTCTGCCTTGAACTACTCGTTCGGTATAGTTCTGTGGAGTAAAACTGACATCGAGAAACTAGAGAGGCGGGTAAGGACTATGCTAACAAAAAAAGGAGCGCACCATCCTCGCAGTGCAATAGAGCGCACAACCTTACCCCGACAGTTAGGAGGAAGAGGTCTAATGGACATCAGCAAGCAGCTAGCTCAACAGGTACTCGCCTTGCGATCCTACTTCTTTGAGAAGGCCGAGATCTCTGAGCTGCATCGCATCATATGCTCAATAGATGACACAACGCCCTTACACCTTAGTAGACGAGATGACCAACCGAGTCACCAAACCAACGAACAGAAGCTACAACGATGGATTGAAAAACCTCTACATGGGAGACATGCCAACGAGATTAGCCAAGAAAACGTTGACAAGAAAGCGTCAAACTATTGGCTTACCTCAGGCCAAATGTTCCCTGAGACTGAGGGATTCCTTGTAGCTATACAGGACCAGGTCATTCCTACCAACAATTACAAGAGGTTCATACTTAAGAACTTGCAACAGTCTGATAAATGCAGGTACGGCTGTCAGGACTCCGAAACAATACAGCACGTAACTGGTGGATGCCAAGCATTCGCTCCAACGGACTATAAGGAGCGCCACGACATAGCTGCCAAAATCATTCACCAGGAGTTGGCATACAAATTCAAACTGATCGAATGCAAGCTACAGTACTACAAATATACACCGCAATGTGTCCTCGAGAACGACAAGTATAAACTATACTGGGATCGCACTGTGCTTACGGACCAATACATAAAACAAAACAGACCTGACATAATCATTGTCGACAAGGACGCCCAGAAAGTAACACTGATTGATGTGGCCATACCTAATAGTAACAATTTAACATACAAACATAATGAGAAAGTTGCAAAATACAGGGAGCTAGAATTTCAAATTAAACGCCAGTGGAAAATGAAGTACGTGGAAACAATACCAATAATAATGTCATCTACAGGGGTGATACCAAGAAGGCTGCTAGAAAACATCAAAGCGCTGGAACTGAGTGAAAACATTTACAAAATCATACAGAAAGGAGTTTTGCTGGCAACTGCTCGCATAGTAAGAAAATTTATGGGAAATGCAAGTACCTAGGGAGGTCACTATTGAGGCTTACCCCTTTGATGCTTGAAGCGTCCGGGTTAAGCCAGAACACCCCGATTAACGGGAGTAACAAAGCCCTACGGCTATAAAAATAATAGTAATAATAATAATAATAATAATAATAATAATAATTTATTGGTGCTATTAAGTGAGTTTGCACAGGTCAGTTAGAGTAGAACATAAAAGAGTAAGTAAAAACAACAAACAATACGAGAATAAGACAAACGTAAAACACGAAGTGGCAATAAAAGGTAAAAAAAACTTGATAAAACCTAGTTTAAAATTTAGATGAACAATAAAACAGGATGGTTAAAAAATTATGAAATAATAATAATTTTTTCATGTTTGTACTCAAAAGTCCTTACACACGTCTGGAGAACAATAAAATGTAATACAAAAATAACACATACACAAAAAACACAAACGAAACCAAAGTAATAAAACAAATAGTCAACAATTATGGAACAAAGTTGGTAATATAAATATCTTTTCACAGTTGTTTTAAAATTGGTTGAGTTGAGTTTTGGCAAAACCTGGGCAGCGCATTTAAAAGTTTCACGCCGAAATAATTACTTCCGTGTCTAGTTTTTGATAGTCTTGTGTACTCTGGTATTAAGTCATTGTTGAAACATGTGTTATATTTGTGAATCTCTTTCGGAGTTTTGTAATCATCGTAATTATTTTTAACTTAGATCAGGCGTTCCAGTATATATGCATGGCACGGTTTTAAATTTTCAGGTCGATAAATGTCGTCTTGCAACACTTTCTGAAATGTAATTTGGCTATTATTCCCAAGCATCGTCTCTGAATAGCAAACATCTTCGATATATGACAGTATGCAGTATTGCAAATTAGATTGGAAGTAGGCATATTAGGCTGTCATTAAAGTCGATTTTGTTACGTAGGTATTTAACCTACGTATCATATATGTTATTTTAGATAACTTCTTTGATAAAGAGGTGATGTGTGATTCCCATCAATAATCACTCTAAGAAATTTTACGGGTTCTACTAAATGAATTCTATATGGTCGAGTGCTGAGTAGAAGAGATTGAGTTTTCGCTATGTTGATTGACAAACTGTTGGAATTAAACCAGTTTTGAATGTTGGCAAAATGCTGCCGAGAATCGAGTAATACCTGGTCAAGGTTACTATTGGAGGATATTGATGTCGTGTCATCCGCAAATAATATATATTGATTGATGCTACAATTTGGCAGATCGTTGATGTAAATCAAAAAAAGAATCGGTCCCAAGACACTTCCTTGGGGAACTACGTGCTTAATATGTACATGGTTAGATAAACAATTTTGAAGGATCTTCAAAGTTATTTATCAAGTGACCTCCCAATCATTAAAAAACTGGGCATCCAAGGGCCACGCTAAAATGTTCAAATATCACATTAATGCTTAAAAAAAATTCTATCCATGCATCTATTTCATCATTTAAAAATAATATATAATAATAAATAATAATAATAATAAAGCATATATTACCCAACAGTATCCACCATTTACAGAGCAATGGGTAATAAAAAACAATTAATGTACTAAATTTACCTATATAAAACTAACTTTAGCGAAATTACAAATTAACACGACACTGGGTTCTTATTTCTGAAAAAGTGTAGCAGGAAATGTTACAGATATATAGACAGTTTGTTCGCGCTTGCACACATTTGATTAATAGGTGCTTTCATTAATATATTTGTTTGAGCTCTTTTACATAAAAATGTGTAATGATCTCTAGCATTAAGTCTCGGTACAAAAATATTTAGCTGTGATAACAGGTTAACAGAGTCAATTTTGCCATTTAGTAGTTTATGCAAAAAACAAAACAGATGCCTGACCTCTACGGATCTCTAAAGTTTGAAAGTTGAATCTGTTCACAAGCATCACATAATCACGACCTCTTTGTGGATATACCCCATCAGGCTTGAAAGATAAGTACTTTGAACCTTTTCGATACATGTTTTATAAATATTGCAAATTGGGTTCCATATTAGTGAACAGTATTCTAATTTCGACCTGACTAGACTAGAATACAATAAAGTTAGTGCCGACAGATCAGTAAAAAGCTTACAGTTACTTATCATAAAGTCATATGATCAAAACGCATTCATAATAATTTGATTAATGTTAATTGATTGTCAAAGCAAACGCCTAGATCTCTGATTGAGTCAGTTCTGAAAAGGTCTGTACCATTAATTGTATAAGGATATAGTATGGTGGAACGTCGGCTAAATGTTACTATTCTGCATTTGGATATATTTAAATGCAGATGATTTCTAAGACACCAGTCATGTAAAACATCGATCTGCGATTGCAGTGCAGCACAGTCTTCTAGACTTGCAATGGACGCATACATTTTTAGATCGTCCGCAAACATTAATCTATTGCATTGCAGAGAAGTGCATAGTTCATTAATTGTATATTACGTAAAATAAAATTAAATGTAAGAATTAAAAACTAACTTTTCCACAATTACTACAATGACAAATAAATCTGTTTCACATGCTTACGAAATCTGTTTACTGGCCAATCCTTTATATTGTCATCTAATTCGTTATAAATCAGGATAGCATTGTAAGTGTATGAACTACGAAATAAAGTTGTTTTATACATAGGGATCTCTAGTCTTTTTTTGTGTCTGAAATCGATGTCTGAATTATTTCGTCTGAAAACAAATTTCTCATAAAGATACAAGGGGGATCTAGAAGATATGATCTTATGTGTAAACACTACTATATGGTACTTGCAAGCATTTTCTATACCCATCCAACCAAGCTGAAATCTCTTTAAGGAAACATGATCATACTTCTTGAGATTAAATACAAATCGACAACAAGTATTTTGGAGTTTTTGGAGTCTTGCTTTTGTGATAGAATCAAGACAATGATAGAACACAGTGCTACAGTAAAATAAGCTTGGAAATATAATAGCCTCACATAACTTTTTTCTAACTTTAAAATTCAAAATAGAGCGATTGACATAAAAACACTTCAACGTTGCATAACATTTTTTTAAGATAGACGAAACATGCTCCTTAAACCGTAAAGTATAATCAATAATCAACCCTAAATTTTTTGTAGTATTTACGACAGCTAGACGCTCCTTGTCGATTTTTACATCAAGAGAATTCAATACAGTGTTACGTTTGACAGCAGGACAAAAAAGCATCACTGAGCACTTATCCTTATTGAGCTTAAGATTATTACCATTTGAGTATCCTACTATTGCCTCCAAATCATCATTAAGCTCATTGATTGAAGTATGCAAAGTGTTACTATTAAAGCTTTTATATATCTGTGTATCATCGGCATAGCACATCACAGAAGAGTTTTTCACAGAGCTACCCAAGTCTATAGTATAAATTAAGTACAACAAGGGCCCTAAAACTGAACCCTGAGGGACACCTGATGTTATATCAATCGGACTAGATATAGTGTTGTCTATCTCTACTACTTGTTTACGATTTGAAAGATATGTTATAAAAAACATTAGAGGTATGTCTGAAAAACCAAAAAACTTCAATTTAGCACATAAAAGCTCATGATCTATTTTATACAGGGCATACCTTGGTAATTTGTCGTTTGCTCAAGATTTCTCTACCTTTTACACCGATACAGATCGCCTGTTACAAGATACAACCGAACTAGCAAGGTGTATTTATAAAAAATAAAGATAACCATGACAGCCACAAATTCTACCATTCTAGTAAGATGTATTCATGAAAAATAAAGATAACCATGACATCTACAAACTCTACCATTCGTCGTATCTTTTAGTTTCTTGCGCTTTGCCCAAAACTCAAAGTTTATTCGCTACCATCCATGCAACGAATGTTTCGCACTGGGTGCGAATCATCAACGCGTCACTATGTACAAGACAAAGGCAGAGTTTTCACCGTGTATCATCGAAGCTACCGCATACTTTTGTAAAGTTAGTAGTTGCTTAGGTAACGCTATTCCCTGTGCGTCTATGACCTCACATAGATATTTCAGTGGTTAGTCACCGCTAGAATCCCTTAGAATCCTCGGGCGCAGCACCTTCGTCCAAGCGACCGGAGTAAATCCGGTCCCGGAGCATCTCCGGGTAAATTGCACGTCACTCCCGAAAGACGAATAGGCCGACGTGAAATTTGTTTCAACTAGTTTTTAAAATGGAATCCGGCCAGCAAGCCGTAATTACAGTTCACCATCAGCCTAGAGACGCAGACGAGGGCATCCGGTTATGCGCTCTTAATTTCGCCCTCCGAAATGAGTATTTGCTTCTTGGAGGGACTGCCTCGAAAAATACAGAGAACGACTACTTTATGAAACTCGGCTAATCGTGAGCTCCCTCTAATGTAAATAGATCCCGATCTTTTATCAGTCCTTGACTAAGGACCATCTCATTTTATTTTCAGAAAACCCTCACAATTTTATCTCACAAAAAATATGTCACTCAGAAACTCGTTGAAAGATTTAGATTTTAGAGGAAAACTTCATGAATCGAGCTTCGAGCTAATTAGGAACTGTCTTTTCGTTTCCATCTAATCATTATTAGCTTGTTTTGTCGAAATAGTGTCTATTACCTTTAAAAATGTAGGAAAATATCATGAAACTTGACTACTGCCAAGATCGCGGCCAAATTCAAAAAATGTTTTACTCACACGGCACCATATCTACTAAACGATCATTTAGAACTTTTTGAAGCACCTT